CCATGCATCAAGAATATCAAGAATATCGATAAATGATATATAAATGTCATGATTTCTCTCTTTGTTCCTCATTTTTCTTTTGAATAATTTATCATATCGTTAATCAAAAAGAAAATTCGGGTGTTTATTTAACTGCTTTAAAACAAAAAAAAAAAACTTTCAAGAAACTCTTCAATAAACTAGAGTTTTAGAAAGTTAGCTCTGGCAGCTTACGATAAACTTGATTATCTACATATATCAGTTTAAAGAAACACCTGTTTTTTCTTTTTTTTTCAATCCTTTCAGAATTTACGAAATTTCCTTTACCACATTTTTACCTCGCATTTTTATATTATTCAAAATGAAAAACTTATTAATCGTATTCATCTTCTTAATATACAGTAAGTAATAAAGGCCAATAAAAACTTGATTTTCTTTACTTGAATTCAATTATCATATCGATATTAAAATTATAAAATTCTTAACATTCTTGAAATTCAGTTGCAATATACACCACTGCATTGCCAATCATACCAATTGACCAGCCAGATTTGTCTGAGACCAGTAAAAGTTCTCAAAACGGTATATCAACTGATCCAACAATTGTATCAGAAAGAGATGCTTTTGAAAAAAGAGAACCGATAGATTTTACATCTTTCAATCCGGCAAGAGATAATATCCGGTGATGCGATAAAATGCATTATATTTTATTATATTTTAAAAATCATATTTATCGATATACCTCAAAAAAATCCATAAAAAAAAAAAATTCTTATTATTGCATTTGTATATTCATTATTCATTTCACATTTTGTAAATTCATTAAACACTCATTTCTCTTATTCATCCACCCATTCACTCATTTAATTTCATAGACTTTGATTTTGTATTTACTGTTTGTATTCGTGTATATTCCAGCATACATATGTAGCCGTTTTTAATTTAAAAAGTTTTTTCAAATCTATCTTTTTTTTTCATAAATTCTTTTAAAAGTTTTCATTTTAAGTGCGTAAAATCATACGTTTGTGTTGCGGAGGACCTAATAAGTGCAATGGTCCAAATATTGTCCATACTTATTTTTTAGACTAGCGTTAGAAGTTCTAATTCGTCTATTCTATTTTTTGGCTAGCCGTCTTAACGTTAATAAATGATCTTTTTTAGCTCCAGATATTTAGCATTTAGACAGTCTTTTTTTTATTTTGTAATAATAAAGTACAGTAGCATTAAACGAATGATATTTTAGTTATAAAGTAATTATATAATTGAATATACTATCTAGTAATTTTAATCTGATGATTCTACATCTAATAAACCTCGTGCATATTTTCACTCTCGATTGGTATCGTGTTAGTCTTAAATGTTTGATTGGAGTTATGATAATAAGTAAAATTTAACAGTTTTCTAAAAAAAAAAAAAAAAAACTAATCATACATACACTGAACACTTGTTGTTCATTTTAGGCATAATCCCATCTGTCTGATTGGTCATGTGCAAAGAAGGTGAATTCAATCTCTATACATCTTGTATTCTGTTCACCTAAAACTACCTAGTCTGTCACTATGTACTCAAGTTGTCTAGGTCGTATTAAAATTGTCAACCCGGATAAGCTACAAATTCTTGATTAATTATACTGTAATCACCATATCTTGGTATACATTTACCCTCAAGCATATCGACTAAATTAGTGCACTTAGAATTTTGAAATTTCAATGTAAATTTTATAATTTCCAACCTTTAAGTGCACATGCTTGATTTCATTAGCATTATAGACACAAGTCAAAAAAATTTTTTTATGCTTCATCATAGACACTTCCATTGAATAATTGTTCCATTAACTGAAAAATTGTTGTTTTTAAAAACAACACGGCTTGATAGAGTGATTTGTTGCCGGTTCGCACGTGCTGTCTGATCTTTATAACAAGTAATGATCTCGGGCTGATAAAATTTATTGAT